AAAGTTTATACATAACCTTCATAATTCATGCATTATATCATGTCTTGCCTTTTTAAAGGTCAAAGCTCATTTCTATCAACACATATAGAATTACTACATTAGACATGGATAATAAAATAATTCAAATAGTTCAATTGCTATAAGCATAATCTCATAATATCCTTCTTTCCTCAATTCACCCACATCACAAGGTCACAAATTGGGAATATGGAGATTTCATGGATTCTTGGGGATTTCATCATAAAAACAATAATATATCATCAATTTAATCATAATATAAAGTAATTAAATCATTATATTCGTTTTTAGAGAGGAATCCATGACTTGGAGTAAAACCCTAGCTTTTGGGGAATTACTAGTTTTGAAATTCAGTTTGGAGGGACTCCATGGATGAAGACTATCCATGGATGAAGGACTACCATACCTTAGCTATCAATCTACAAATAAATTGAGTATAAACCTTGCTCCTTCAAACCCTAGCTTCCACTTTCTTCTTCTTCTTCCTTGAAGTTCTAGAGAGAATTTTGGGGGAAGAGTTGGTTTTGATTTGGGATTTTAGAATTATGAGGAAGATGACTTAATTTGGGGGTCTTAAATCATTATCTAGTTAGTCTAATTTAGTGTAAAACGACTTCACTTAATACTAATTAAAAATGGAAAACCCCAAAGTCCGCACCATCAAACCAGCCCCCAACCACCCAAAAAAAAAAAACTCGTTTTAAAAAAATATTTTTAACTTCAATTTTTTTACCCCTCCCTCACCCCTAACCCCAGCCTCCTACAACCCCCCCACCCACCCAAAAAAAATAATATTAAAAGTTGTTCTTAAAAGATATTTTAATTTCAATTTTTTATTTTTTTACCCCCCCCCCCCACATCAGCCCCCCACACCCTTCAAAAAAAAAATTTAAGTTAGTTTTTAAAAAATATTTTCTACTACAAATTTTTATTTTTTCACCCCTATCCTCGACTCTCCTCCACACTCCCCAAAAAAAATTTAAGCTAGTTTTAAAAAAATATTTTCTACTTCAAATTTTTGTTTTTTCACCCCTACCCTCGACTCTCCCCCCCGCCCCCCCCCCCCCCCATTCCCCAAAAAAAAATTATATTTTTTTTACAAAATATTGTCAACTTCAAAATTTTATTTTTCACCCCGATCCTCAACCCCACCCCCTCGGCCAGCCCCCCACCCCGCCCCCCAAAAAAAAATTTGAGTTTGTTTTTAAAATATATTTTCAACTTCAAAATTTCATTTTTTTCACCTCTACCCTCGACTCCCGCCCCACCCAACCCCTACCACCCCCCCACCCCACAAAAAAAATTTAAGTTTATTTTTAAAAAATATTTTCAACTTCAAATTTCATTTTTTTCACCCCACCCCAAAAAAAAAATTTAAGTTTGTTTTTAAAAAATATTTTCAACTTCAAAATTTCATTTTTTCACCCCTACCCTCGACCCCCCCACCCCAAAAAAAAAATTAAGTTTGTTTTTAAAAAATATTTTCAATTTCAAAAATTATTTTCTACTCTAATAAAAATAAAAGATATTTCTCAAAAACGTTTTTCATTCATAAAGAAAACACTAAAAAAAATTTCTGAAAAATATTTTCTACTCACAAACTAAACATGAGAAAAGAAGTCAAAATCTACTTATTTTCCAAAAAAGCATTTTCCTTCATACCAAATACACCCTTAATATATAATTAGTCCCTTAAATTTATTAGAATAATATATTTAGATATTTGAACCAAGTTTTATCCTAACTAAACATTTCAATTAGACATTTTTTATTCAAATATTAAAGAAAAAAATATGTGTGTTTCATTTGTATATTAATAAAATATATCATTTTCTTTAATTATTATAACATTCACTTCAATAAAGCGTAAAACTTCAGATATTTTCTATTTAAGGTTGATGCGTCTGTTTAAATGAAATGATATATTTTATGTGTTTAACTTAACTAACTAATAGACAAATGAAAACACACGTAAAAAATTTTAAAGTTGAATCGAAAGTGTCTAATTAATTTAATTAGTTGGAGTGTCTAAATAGAATATTTTAACAAGTTTAAAGGACTGACTATATATAAAGCCTTTTTTATTTACTTAGAAATAATTAAGAAGTGATTTATTTTCCAAAAAAAAAAATTAAGAAAACATTTTTCTTCACTTCGAACACATTTTATTGTTTATATTATGGCATCAACAAATAGAAGTGGTTGAATTATATATATAGATGATGTGCCAAAAAAAACATTTTTCTTCACTTCGATCACATTTATTGTTTATATTATGGCATCAACAAATAGAAGTGGTTGAATTATATATATAGATGATGTGCCAAAACTACTGGGGAGGATCCCAACGCATTAGACACTGTTGAGGTTGGTTGGTGTGGGGGGGGGGGGGGGGGGGAGGCGATGGTGAGTAAAACATATTTATGTGAATTGTGAAGTTAGGAGTGTGTCAAAAAGGATTTACCATTTGGTTTGGAAGTTTTCTTTGTAGACCTTCCGAAGGTATTGCAAGTTCCTTTAGGCTTTACTTTTTTGATGAAATAAATACTTACTTATTTTTTGGGGATAATTTCAAAGAAGTCCTCAGATTTTGCTTAGTGACATTAATTATTATTTTTATTATTGTTATATGTTATTTATTAAAAAGTAGATCAAAGAAAATATTAAATATTGATATAATTGAATTTTAACATGAATAATTAATATAATTTAAAAAATCTATTCAAATAAATTAAAAAATTATTTCACAAATCAAAACAAAAAATAATAATGTATAAAATGTAAAATAAAGAATTTATTGTGTAAAGATGAAGAATAAGAATTTTATTGTATTCTTTTAAGAATAAGAATTTTATTCTTCGTTTTACTCAATAAATTTATTTATTTTATTTTATGTTAAACTGAAATATTTTAAATATTTCGAGATAAACTAATCTTAAGAATTTGAATAAATAAAACAATGTCTTTTAGAACAAATAAAAGAATTTAACTAATTAGCAAAAGAATTCAATTCAATAAAAAAATTGGATTGAGGATATTTTATACCAAAAGATGAAAGGAGAGGAATTTTTTAACAAAAAACAAAGGTGAAGCGTATTTTTAGATCAAAAGTTGGAAGAAAATTTTTTCTGAACCGTTTCCTATAGATTAGGGGTATTCTTGGTCATTTTTCCTTGTTTAAAGATTTATATTACGCTTAAGATATTACACTAGTGTCACAAGCTAAGATATTCATACCACAATTACAAAGAAAATAACATAGTGGAGGTAAATGTAAATTTAGTTAGGACCCAACTCATCATAAAACCAACTCTTGGTCTGAACTGCTTAAATGAGTTGACTGCACAAGAGTAAAAAATATGATGGTTAAATGCTGGTCAAACACATACACAATCCATCAAACTTTTCCTTATTTTATATTTTGACACTCAAACTTAATTTTGTTCCATTTTAACCCTTAAATTACATTTTCTATGTACCATTCAAACATGGAATTTTATTTTTTTTATTATTTTTGTTCTTCAATTGCAGTTTTTTATTTTAAAATTTGACGTGTCTGCTAATTTTTGTAAATAAAATATTAAAAATTAACGAATGAACATAGATTTTTTTAAAATAAAAATATTATTTTTTGAGATTTTTTCTCTATATTTTTGCATGGAAATAAATCGACGATTTTTTTTATTTTCTTTCTTAAACATTCAATTAAATTAAAGAATACTACATGTTTATTTGTTTCTTATCATTTAGGCTATTTGAATTTGATGCAAATACTCGCTTTTAATTTTTAATATAACTAAATACGAATAACAAAAAATCCATCTTCAAAACGAGAAAAAAAAGAGCCATGTTCTACTAAATAAATGTTAAAACTCGATTGAGTCGGGATGTCGATAATTTTTTAAGAAAGAAAACCAACACAATTTCGTCGGTTATTTTTCACACAAAATATACAGAAAAACTCTCAAAAAGAATCAATGTTTGTTCGTTAATTTTAAATTTTTTACTAAAATTAACTGACACATGCCGATTTTTAAAATAAGAAAATGCAATTGAAGAACATATATAAAAATAAACAAATCATAAAAATAGTATTTCGTGTTAAAATGGTACGTAAAAAATAGAGTGTAACGGTTAAAATGGAACAATGCTAAGATGGAGTGCCAAAATAAAAAATGAGAGCAAGTTAGAGGGATTGTGTATGTGTTTGGCCTTAAAAGTAGTAAAGATATCTATAATATTTAAAAGGGAAAAAGGACAATTATACCCCCCAACTATCGTAAATGGTATGCAGATACCCTCCGTCATACTTTTGGAACATTGGTGCCTCTACCGTCTAAAAACTAGAGCATATATACTCTTTATACTAACGGACTTTCACGTGTCATAATCTTATCCACCATCCTGACATTGATTAAATATCGGATCGACGGATAAGATAGCGTCACGCGTCCCTATTTAGTCTTCTGTTAGAGTGAAGGACATATATGCTCTAGTTTTTGGATGGCAGGGGCACCAATGTCCCAAAAGTATATCAGATAGTATCTGCATGTCATTTACGATAGTTCGGGGATATATTTGTCCTAAACCATCCAAAAGCATAGAAACCGACTAATATCATACAAAGGGGGTCACTTATTTTTTTCTGAGGGCAGGGAGTTTGGATTGCTGTTCAGTGTACTGCACTATGGGTACAAGATCACACCTTAGACACCATGGTCATTGATCGGTAGGACCCTTATTTGATAGGCATTAGGGGATTTGAGGTAATAGAAAGCATGAACAGACTATGATGGATTTGGTACGCAAGAACATTTCTGCTTATAGATGTTCATCAATCCAGCGCTATGTTTCTTTTGTTAGGAGCATGAACATGACAAGGATTACATCATAGGACAGGTTATTGCATGATACACACTTTTATAGTATATTAGTTCAAAGAGTATATGATGGCTCTGCCAATTAAGAAAAACGTAAAAAGAAAATGTTAAAGTGAACCAAAATCAATATTGATACCTGTAAACTGTTGAACAATGATTTGATGGTGCACTATACTATAGACTAGTTATCTTCCTTCATTAGTCATCAATTGTGAAAATACCTTGCTTGTTGATATATCTGAAGCCCCATCACCATTATACACCTCATTGTGGAGACCCTCTGGCAATGGCACTGGAAGCTCATTGGAAATCTCAGGCACTTCTCCAAGTGTTCCAGATTCTTGAAGCTGGAATGCATATTCCAAGTTCCACAATACGTCACCCATTGTTGGCCTATCAATTCCATAATCAGCCAAACATTTCTCGGCAGTCTCCCCGAACTTCCTCAAACAGTTTAGCTTTATCTGGCCTCTGATATGGGGATCAACAATCTTGTCTAGTTGTCCATCCTTCTGCCACTGCATAGCCCATTCAGCCAAATTAACTTGCTCTCGTGTAAGCAGAGGATCAATTGCTGGTCTAGCACATAAGACTTCAAATAGAACAACTCCGAACGAGTAAACATCAGACTTGTCAGTAAGCTGCTGCCTCCGAAAATATTCCGGATCAAGGTAGCCAAAACTTCCTTTTACACCAGTGCTGACATGGGTCTCATTAAGACAAGGGCCTGTCCTTGAGAGACCGAAATCAGCAACCTTAGCAACACAATTTTCATCAAGGAGGATGTTAGTTGACTTGATGTCACGATGGATGATTCCTTGAGCGAAACCTGTATGAAGGTAGTGGAGACCTCTTGCTGCACCTATGCATATCTCAAGCCTTTTCTTCCAAGATAAGGGTGATATGCCTGGACCATACAAATGCCTCTTAAGAGGTCCCTTCTCCATATACTCGTAAACAAGTATCATCTCAGACTGTTCTTCACAATAACCTACAAGTGAAACAAGATGGTGGTGGCGAATCTTGGAAAGAACAGTGATTTCAGTCTGAAATTCAGGTAGGCCCTGCCTGGAACCTGGCACACCTCTCTTTATAGCAACCTTTCTGTTGTCTCCAAGAATACCTCTGTATACCATCCCAAAGCCACCAGAACCGACTAGCAAACTCTTATCAAAATTATTAGTAGCCAATTGTATTTCGGCAAAGGGAATCCTCTGGCGTAGATATCCATTTGGTCCAGGCGAAGTCCCATCAGACAATGTACCATGGGAACTACTTCCATATCGACGTAAAGGCGTCCATCCAGCACTTTCTGAGGGCTTTGGTTTTAGCTTTTTCTTTCTGCAGACAAAGAATAGCAAAGCAGCAAGAATCATCACCACAGTCAGCAGAACAAAACTTCCAAGAACAGAACTCACTATAACCCAAACATTTCTCTTGTTAGAACCTGTCCGGGAAGCCACAAAATTAACCATTTTCATAATCTCAACACCATTCAGAATGGCATTCTTCCTCATTGAACTACTTAAGTTAGAAGGATCGATGCTTACTTGCACAACACCTGAACTACCTGAGTATACCACAAAATCTATGTAATATGGTGTAGCAAGCTCACGGAATGTAAGCGAAGATAAATCAAGGTCTTTGTATGCTGTGAAGCCATTGAGATATACATTAAAGTACAACTGTCCAGGTGACAAACTAACAATATCACAGAAATGCAAGCGAACAAAGTGGGAAACATCTTTAATAGCGACAGGAAAGTTCCATGTGATATTAAATTTGAAATCTGTAGTTACATTATCCGTATTCATCTGCTGTGCTGTCATATAGACACTATCAGGAGCAATTTCCCTTGTAGCACCACCCTTTTGATACTTGGGAACATGAGAAGTTCTTGCAATTTTAGCAGCATATTTCAAAATGAGGAAATCTTCATCTGGAATCCAACTTCTCCAGAGAGTATCATTAAAAGGAGTTAACTTTAACCCTCCAACATTAATCCTATGAACAGTCTCTAATGTTTGTAACGTCATATTCTGATTAAACTCCCGAATTCCTTTGGGACCAACTGATTTAGCCCCATCACCAATTATGAAATCATCCGGAGCTGAAAACACTTCAATTGCATTTACAAAAGCAAAACTGGATTCATAAGGATTAGGTGTGAAGTTAATTTCAAGTTCAAACTTATCCACCATCAATATGAACTCTCTAACCACACTATTAGTAATAGTAGTATTAACACTAAAAAGCAAAACCCCATTTGCAGAAAAACTGAAAATTGCTTTTCTGAAATCATAATTGTGAGAAGTGAAGGGAGAGAAATGAAGTCGCAAGAAATGGGTCCCAATCTTGTTGATATTGAACACATACTTTGAAGCATCATTGAAAACCCTAGCACTAGAATAAAGGAAAGATAAATTGGAAGATGGGTTTGTATTTTCTTCAAAGACAATAGACTTACCTTGAGAGGTATAAACTGAATTAGAGTCACCAAGGAAGAGTCTGTTATCAACTAAGACATCTGTATTTGAACCACAGTTTATCAAGTAGTTATCTTGTGGGGAGAAAGCACCTGATAAATAGATGATACAGAAACAAGGGATGAAAAAACCAACAACAACTTTACAACTTCTCATGGGAGAAGAATGAGAGAATTAATTGTACTCTACTATTTTTTTTTAACAACAAGATGTGAGTGAATTCTTTTCAAGTAACACAAAATGTGAATGTCAAGGAGAGCTGTCCAAAATACTGTGTAAACAAAGAAAAGTGGCGGCTCGTGAACACATTTTCTTCCACCATTAATAGTGTCCTCCACTTGCAAGTTGGAACTCTACATCTGTATACCATTATATTTTTGCCTTAAATCATTTACTCCTTTTGTTTCTATTTATATATAGTTCTTACTAAAATTAGATTAAAAAAATATTTTTTGTTCTTAGTTACTTGTTCATTTTTTCTTTTATAATTGTCCCTAATTACTTGTTCATTTTAACAAATCAAGAAAAGATAATTTTTTTTTACCTATTATACCTTGAATTTAAAAATAAAAAATAAAAAAATTATTACTTTGAAAAAGATAGAACTTCTTGAAAATCTTAAATTTTTAATTTATCCACTTCATAATTAATAGGGGTAAAATGGTAAACTCATTATGTCATTAATAGTTTTCTTAATAGGTGTGTCAATTCAAAAGTGGACAAGTAATTAGTGACAGATAAAGTACTAGATACTCCCTTTGTCCCAATTTATGTGACTTACTTTTCTTTTTAGTCAGTCCCAAAAAGAATGACACATTTCTATATTAAATAACAATTTGACTGTAAAATATATATTTTATCCTTAATGAAATGATTTACAGCCACACAAATTTCTATCATTCATTTTGGACCATAAATTTTAAAAGTCTTCATTTCTTTCTTAAACTCCGTGCCGAGTCAAACACCTCACATAAAATGAGACGGAGGGAGTATTAGTTAATACTTCCTCTGTCCCTAATTACTTGTCCACTTTTTCTTTTTTAATTGTCCCTAATTTCTTGTCCTTTTTGACAAATCAAGAAAACACAATTTTTTTTTACCTATTATATCCTCAATTAATTATTTTAAAAAGGTAAAACTTTTTAAAAATCTTAAATTTTTAATTCACCTACTTCATAATTAATAGAAGTAACATGATAAACTCACTATGTCAATCATTGTTTTTCTTAATAGGTGTATCAATTCAAAAATGGACAAATAATTAGAGACAGAAGGAGTACTTGATATTTTATAAAACCAATACATAAATAACTTTATTCTTCATATTTTACCCTTTAAGAGTTTTTTTTTTTTGTTTTTTTTTGGTCCATGGACCGTTTTATTAATAATAGACTGTAAAAAAAAACAAAGCTAAGACAAAGCCAATGAGTCTAAAAGCTGAGGCCGGGTTCAAAATAACCCAACCCATTACTATCCTACCAACATGAATAAAAGACCTCTTAAGCTGAGAAGAGTGTTCTCTACACTTTCCTAAAAGTTGTTTGTTTCTCTTCCCAATGTTGCATGCTGCTTATCGTTGGAACTCGTAACTACGTTGTCTCCTCCTCTGGTTCGCCTTCCACATTAGCTCCTATTAGTGTTTCTTGGAGACTCCATCTATTATATTCACTGTTACAAGGTAAGTTCCTCTCATCTTCTTCCTCTTTGTTGTTTTTCTCTCCTAACCCTTTCCATTTTGTGCTCTCAGGTGGTGGGGGGTCATCCCAAAGGATCGATATGTCATGCTTGTGCTTATGTTGCTTTGGGCTGCCTGTAAGTCCAATTTCCTCATTCGCCTTTCTCCCTCTTCCTTTTTGTAAGTGATGTTTGTCCCTTCTACTCAGGCGATTTCGAGCATTTGCTGCCCTCTTCTTGTTGTTGCACTCCCCAATCTTCTTATGGCTAACCAAGACCGCACTATCCTTTCTTTTTGGTGAAGGCTTTTGATAGCTAGAGCATTTAGTCCTAGCTAGGTTATTTGTCACAATCTTGATGTCTTCTTCAAGGCATACTCTGTTAATATTTCGACTGTGATTTCCTTTTGCTCCCATGTCAGTAGACATGTATGTGTGTATGCCAATGTCAACTGCATCTACTTATGGGTCTTCCTTTATGTACTTTATTGATTTACTTGAGCATCTTCATGTGTATTTATCTTCCTTGCCTTGATTATGATGTTGGTACTTGAGCTTTGTCCATGTACATCTCTGTCCCTTGCGATTCCACCACTTGATTTGCTAATGCATCCGCTAAAGTATTGTCTTCTCTGAATGTATGAACCATACATGCATCCAATAACTGCATAATCATGATGATCTTCTCAACTCTCTCTGTAATCTCCCATGGTATTATCCACTGTCTTTGAATAATATTCCTCACAACTAATGAATTTGTTTCAATAGTTACCTCATTCAGGTTCTTCTCTTGGCAGTATTCTAGTGCATCTTGAATATCCATCGACTCAGCCTCTGTATTCATGGCCATCCCTATGCCCTTGACTTTTACAGATATTAGGTCTCCTCCATCAATCCTCAAACAAAATCCATATGAACTAAGACATGGATTGCCTCTACTCGTCCCATTAATATTACATTTCAATTTCTGTCTGGCAGGAAATTTCCATGTAACCTAGACAAATTGTAGCTTAGGTCTATATTCTCTAAGTTTTGCAACTATGCCTTGCAAATTCCACATCCACCATGTAATCCACGAGTATAACACCTTTACAAGCTTCTTGACTATATCCTGAATTTGCATCACCATGCATGTATAGTCAACAACTTCCTCATGCATCCTGACATTCCTCCTCTTCTAGAGCGTGCACATTATAATTGATGGCATAACTCTTAACACAACTTGCAACTTTGTTGGGCCTTCCTCATACATTCCATATGAAGAAATTTATTTTAAATGACAATCCTTTGATTCAAATATATTACCCAATATCTCTTCTTCTTTATACTCTGCGTCTCACAATCTCCCATGCTGACTTAACCATAAATGATCCTTGTGTATTGGCCATCCACCAAGGAACATCTTTCTGGTTCGTGCACCTAGGAGGTTTTATGCTGTGCACTATTTACTCACTCATCTCCTCTGAGAGTCTATCAGTCAACTATTCAGGGTCTTTCTTGGTCTGTTATAAGAACTAGAGCTACCTGGTGAATTTCCTTTCTCTATGTGATAATTTGTCTTCTCTTTAAACCCCTTTTACTTTTCCTTTTCCTCCCCTCTTTTAATCTCTCATGTGGCACCCCTTCATCGATCTCCTCCTTACCTTCATTTCCTTGGTACTCTAGAGCCCCCAAATTGGTTCCCTAAAGTGATTTCTTGATCCCTAAAGTGACTTCCTCCATAATAAGCACCATTGGAAAGCTTGGACTCTTCTATCCGACTCTCGAAGGTGGTGCTGATCTCAGATGTTTCAAGGACATATGCAAAGATTTCTATGCCAAATCTTGGTAAAATTTTAACACTCAGAAAGGTCTTTTCAAAAAGCTTCTCGAAGACAAATACTATAAAAGAATACATCTAGTTTGTAGAAATTGGTCTTATGGTCAATCTCATAACTGGAGAAGGTTGATGGATATGAAGAATGATATTGAAAAAATAATATTATGGAAGATTGGGGATGACATGGCTTCATTTTGGTGGGACGATTGGACTGAAAAAGGAGCCCTCGCCAGTTTTGTTCAGAATCAGCATACTCCTAAGAAGATCAGGGTTCATGAATTTTTTGATTGTGGTAATTGGAATGCCTCTAAACACATAAATGTCCTACCTAAAGATCTTGTCAACACCATCCTTCAAATAGATATTCATGAAGGTAAACAAGACTGGCCTATTTGGACTATCACTTCAAGTGGACTTTTTTCTAGTAAAACAGCTTGGCATACTGTTAGAAAGCACAAAAATACTTCCTTCACTACTAGGATGATCTGTCAAAAATAACTTCTCTTCAAGGTCTATTTTTTATGCTTAGAACACTCCATATTAAGCTTCCCACATATGATAACGTGCAAAATTGCTTAAAGTGAATCTCTCGTCCATTTGTTCTTGTTGTAGTAATCATATATAGTTAGGAGACTATAAACCATTTATTTTGCGATAGTCTTATTGCCAAACATGTTTGGAACTATTTTGGTAATAGTTGTGGCATTTCCATTAATTTCGGGAGCATTAGACAAATTCACATGTGTTGGTGGATATCTATACATAAGAACCACATGCATACAATACGTCTTCAATGCATTCCTACAGTTATTTGTTGGGAGTTGTGGAAGTGTAGATGCTCTGCCAGATATGACAACATCAAGATGACTAGAAAGTATATTATTCTCCAAAGTTGTAAATATATGTGTATAATATTTTCCACTAACTGGTTGAAGCTATCCTTCCCTACTTCTTGGAATGAAATATGTCACTATACTGAGAATCTAATCCAGCATACTAGCCAAGTTACTTATTGGAATAAGCTTTTGAATGGTTTCTTAATACTTAATGTTGATGGATGCGCTAGAGGGAATCCGAGAAGCTCAGGCGGTGGCGGTATTTTGAGGGTCACACAGGAGCTATCATTCTTGCCTTTTTTTACACACTTTTATGGTCATTCCAGTAACAACAATGGTGTAGCTAGAGACATTTTGCAAAGCTTGAAAACTTTGTATTTATAAATAATATTTGAACGTTATTGTGGAACAGACTTTCAAGTAAGGTGGATGTGATTAACAACAAGATGAGGGCTCCATGGCATGTAAAGCATATTACGGATCAGATCACTCAACTTTTCGGCATTAAAATTTTTGTTTTTGTTCACACTTTTAGAGAGGAGAACACATTGGCTGATCACTTAACTAACACTGGAGAAGTCACCAAAAGCCATGCTATCTACTATGATTTTGGCTCACTTCCTAGTAAAGTCAAAGCAATGGTGATACTTGATCAACAAGGCTTCCCACACCTATGAATCAGGCCAAAGCAAAATCATTTTGTGATTAATGATGTTAACAGTTCTCACGTATAGAGTTGGTACAACTCTTTCTATTTTATTTAATATCTCACTCATTTGTACCCACCCCAACTTCACACTGGGTGGAATTTTTATCCTCCCAAGTGTTATAGTGTTTGCAACCATAGGTACATAAGAATGATGTCTCATTCTTGATTTGGCTCTGGAGGCAAAGGTCTATATTCTCCTACACATACTTTATTTTGTTTTTATAATAAAAAGGTTGGGGCAGTACCTTAACCCTCCACCATTGGTGGACTTTCGAAAGAAAAAA